GGATTCGAACCTGCCACCTTAGGTGTATGTGGCTGGTGCCTTAGCCACTTGAGCCACAGGCGCCGAGCCTGGTAGAGATATTTGATATCGCTCTTGCTCAGGCTGGTCTCAAACTCCTGAGCTCAAGCAATCCCCCTGCCTCTCTCTCCAAGAGTGCTAGGATTCCAGGCATGAGGCCTGCCGCCCAGCCATAAGGACGTGCTTTCATCTGATGGGTAAATTCCAGTTGCAAGTGTGCTTCTCAATGCACAGAGGTAAAAACATAACAAAGCCTCACAAGTAAATTCCCAGAGCCAGCTACTACATGCAAGTGTTTTACCAGACAGCCCTCCTCCAAATTAGCAAAAAGAATAATTTCTTAACTTTCATCCAGCATACGGCATTGTCATCTCTAGTTATCTGGTGGCTGCAAAGAAAGGGTATACAAAACTGGCATTTCTTTACCTTAAATGCCTTTCCATACTTAATATCTGCCACTGACCTCCAGTGCTTTTGTCTTTCATCTGTTCAACCAGCTATTTATCCTGGTCATGTCATCTTCAGATAAATCTGCCAAGAAAAGCCAAGCACGGTGCCTGGTGCCTGTAATCCTACATTTCTGGGAGGCAGGGGCAGGTGGATTGCTTGAGCTCAGGAGCTTGAGTCCAGCCTGAGCAAGAGCTGGATCCTGTCTCTACTAAAAATAGAAAAAAACTAGTCAGGCATAGTGGTGGGCACCTGTAGTCCCAGCAAACTTGGGAGGCTGAGGCAAGAGGATCACTCAAGCCCAAGAGTTTGAGGTGGCTGTGACCTATGATGATGCCACAATATTCTCCCTAGGGTGACAGAGAGATACTCTGTCTCAAAAAAAAAAAAAAAGGCTCGGCGACCGTAGCTCAGTGAGTATGTCAGCCACATACACCAAAGCTGGTGAGTTTGTTGAGCTGGGCCCAGACCTGCTAAACAACCATGACAACTGCAACCAAAAAATAGCTGATCCTTATGACAGGCGCCTGTAGTCCCAGGTACTTGGAGCCTGAGGCAAGTGAATTGCTTAAGCCCAAGAGTTTTAGGTTGCTGTGAGCTGATGTCAGGGCACTCTACCAAGGGTGACATAGTGAAACTCTGTCTCAAAAGAAAAAAAAAAGAAAAAAATCAAGAAAAACATAATGGCTTTTGTTTTTACTTTACAAAAATTGATGAATACATAGAACAACAGATCGTATGATAAAAATAGCAGTTCCTCAACTTCCCCAGTCCTGGTCCCAGAGAGGATGGAGTCTCCTGCCTTTACGTGGTGGAATCACGTGAACCACTTAATTCCCCCACCTCCTCCCCAAAAACTGCACACATGAGATCTTGGATTCATAACTTTAGGCAATTTCTCTCATTCCCCAGTATTATTTTTAAAATTCTGAAAGTTTTTTGAGAGAAAACCACCTTTAAACCTCTCCTCCTTTGAAACTAGGAGTACATCGTGTATTACTGGGAGGAAGCTGGCAGGGACAGGAGGAGATCGGACTCAATATAAAACTGGTGAGAATGTGACGAGCCATTTTCCGGCAGTGCCACCTGGCCCGTTTCACGTTTCCTTCAGTTACCAGTTCCATAAACAGCAATGGGTCAAAGGGCTGCCCCACAGCAGATGGGCTTCCAGGGGCTCGGTATATAGCACAAAACAGTGGAGGAGGCAGACAGTGGACAAGTA